CCACGCTAGTATATAAACCAGCATGTCAGACTGCAAGAGTCCTTGTAACACAAATCAGGTGATTGTTAGGAATTCATAAATGATTTTTCACAGCTTCAGTTCAAGAGCATGTAAATTGTCAAAATGTCACTACAACACCTTTGCAGCTAAATATGTCAGTGTGTTTTCTTACATATCCTGCATAGTATAGTAAATGGAGTACATACTGGGCCAGAGAATAGAGAGGCGCAGGCTGAGGGTCTACCAGCCCAAGACCAACTATCTGTCCCTCAGCAAGGAGGAGTGCCAGAGAAAACCTTTGCTTATCCTGCCAGGCTGTCAGGGAAAAATCTGCCTTCTCTTACAGGGAGATCTACAGACAGCTTACAACTGTCCCTATGCCCTCCTTGTTGCTGTCAAAGTCACGGCTGCATGCATTCCAGCATCCCATGAGTTTTATTGGAGGCATTTCACTATTTGCCGTAAGTTCAGCCATACATGCAGTTACAACAAGCCTAGTATGACAGGCAAGCAAATGTATTAAATTCTCCCAGACAATTGCTAGCCAAGAGTGGGCCAAAGAGGAGTTTTTGGCAGTTTGAGTTCTGTGACATCCTGGGTGCAATAAACTACATGCATGTGCAAGTATGTGCCCCATCAGTGAATGGTCTGATACATGTGAATCGCAAGGGAACTCACTCCATTAATGTACAGGTGGTTTGCTATGCAATGTGTAAACTTACACATGCATTCACAAACTATGCTAGGTTGTATCATGACTTTTTTATATTGGTTAACTTGGTCCTTCCTACAGTCTTTGAGGAGGATAACCCCCAGAAGGATGGCTGTTAGGGGACAATGGCTATCCCTTCAAGATTTAGCTGAAATAAAAGTGGTGAAGAACTAACAAATCCCTCTTCTGCCTCCTTGGAGGTGGCCACAGGATGCTCCAGTAGAGGCAGGGAGCAGGGAGTTAGATGTAGATCTGGTGGTCAGAAGAGATGGAATGATGAGAAGCAAGTTGCTCAACTGCATCAGTGAGCCTTTCCAAGCTGTCGGCAGTGCATTGGATTGGCTGAGGAGCCGCTCAATGCAGCTCAAGCGGGTGTTCATGTTCTGCCTGAGCCTGCCAAATTCCCACTTCAGCATATTAAAACCTGACCACTGAATCTCAAAAAAGGGTGGTCTTCAGGGTGGGAGGGGGTCACATGTTGCTGTGTTGATCGGCTCGCCTCTCCTCTTGCTCTTGAAGATGGAGCCACCACCTACTCACTCTCCACAACTCCAGGCCTCACCCTGATGGGGAGAGTCATGGAGATAATAGCTCACCTAACCTAACAAAGTCACAAATATTAACAAACACAATATTTCTAAGCTGATAAAATACAAACAGTCATGCTCTTTTATGTCTTTACTGAACACCCCCATTAAACATACAAAGTGATGGTGGAAAAAGTAATGGCAGCACTAGGCTTCGGATGTCAGTAAGCATCAACTGGGGTCAGATGTTAGCAAACGTGGAGTCCAATCAATGAAACAAGAATAGAGGTGTGGTTTAGAACTACCTTGACTTATAAAAACACTCAAACAGTGTCATTGTGTTATTCACAAATCATCAGCTGACATGAGCTGTGCCTTGCAAAAAAGAGATCTCAGAAGATCTATGATCAAGAGCTCTTGTTATGTATAGAGCTGGAAAGGTTTAGTCATCTCAGAGAATTTAGATATTCATCATGCCACAGTTAGACGTGCTGTCTAGAAATGAAGACGATATGGTACTGTGGCTACTCTCCACAGAAGTCGGTGCCCAGCCAAAATCACTCCAAAGGCACAATGCAGAATGCTCAGTGAAGTAAAAAAAAAAAAAAGAACCCTGAAGTAACAGCTTAAGACTTGAAGGAGTCATTGGAGTTGGTTAACATCTCTGTCCATGTGTCAACCATATGCCAAATATTGAACCGGCATGGTATCCATGGCAGGACACCATGGAGGAAACCACTGCTCTCCAAAAACAACATTGCAGCACACCTGAACTTTGCGAAAGACCACCTTGACATTCCACGACACTACTGGAAAAATGTCCTGTGGACAGATGAAACAAAGATAGAATTGTTTGGGAAAAGCACACAGCACTACATATGAGGTAAAAAGAGAGTTGCATACCCTCTGGACCTGGACCACTTGCCACTGTACAGAGGAAACTGAATTCCCAAGTTTATTCAGGTGTCCTACAGGATAATGTCAGGGTAACTGGCTGCAGGCTGCAGCTCAGAACAAGCTGGGTGATGCAGTAGGACAATGACCCTTAACCCTAGCATATAATGGCTTCAGAGACACAGAATCCACCTTTTGGAGTGGTCCAGTCAGAGCCAACCTCAACCCAATAGCGACGCTGTGGAATGACCTTAAGAACACGACTGACCTGAAACTGTTCTGTGAGGAAGAATGGTCCAAGATTCATCCTGAGCATTGTTCAGGTCTAATCCACAGCTACAGGAAGGGCTGGCTTGAGGTTATTGATGCCAAAACTGGTTCAACCAGGTATTAAAACACTGTTGCTATTACTTTTTCCACCATAATTTTGTATATTTAGTGGATGTGTTCAGTAAAGACATGAAAGTTCATGACATTTGTGTTTTACCAGCTTAGAAACATTGTTTGTGACTTTGGTGAGGATCAGATCACATTTCATGACCGATTTAAGCAGAAAACCCACTAAGCAGTTGGTTATTAATTATTCTAACATTATTTGTAGGATTTGTACAATGTGTCTTTCATTTGTAATACACATACAGTATATACCCCCGGCGGAAATCACCAGCACTCATGCCGGTGAGCTTGCAGGGCTCAGATATTGAGATTGTGGACACCTTTAAATACCTGGGTGTCCACCTCAAAAATAAACTGGATTGGACCAACAACACAGATGTTGAGGAGGTCCTTTGGTGTGCGCGGGGCACTCCTTCGGACATTTTATGATTATGTGGTGGCATCTGCGTTTTTTATGCTGTTGTGGGTTGGGCAGGAGGTAGCACAGTCAGGGACAGAAATAAAATCAACAAACTGGTTAAGAGAGCTGGTTCTGTCCTGGACTGCTCTCTGGATTCCATCGAGGAGGTGGCAGACAGAAGGATGCTGGTAAAACTAACATCCATCATGCATAACCCCACCCATCCCCTGCACCACACAGTGGTGGCTCTGAACAGTTCTTTTAGCACAAGACTGTTACATCCCCAGTGTAAGAAGGAGCATTACCGTAGGTCATTCCTCCCCACAGCCATCAGACTGTACAACACATCACTGCAGTGATAAGATAGGTGAAATTATGAGGGACTATGCAATAATCTACTGAGGTGCAATATTCAAATCCTGGGTGTGAAATGCAATGTAAATAGGCTCATGTGTAATATCTTGTTCCTGATCTCTCTCAAATACTGTACATTGCCCTGCTTTAGGTATTTTTGAGTAGTTGCTCAGAGATCCTTATGGCTGAAACACAGGTTTCTTTCCCCCATTGTGGGATCAATTGTGTGAGTACTATTTGATTGTTCTTGATTTCCTGGTTGTTTAGTCTCTACTGCTGTTCCTGATTCTCTCCAGTGCTGCTTTGCCCTGTTTTTAGGTGCCTTTGATTTGCTTATTTGTGCTGTGTAATATGTAATGTTCTGATGACGCTACTTTTATAATCCTTGTGTGTATCGGTCCTAATGCTTTGTTGCCTTTATGTAACTTTTTATTTTAAAACTAAGTGTACATTGTTACTACGTACTTACGTACGCATGCGCCACACAGAGTGGCAGCAAGTTACAGCAGCTGTGTCCTCATTGTGTTCTTTCCCGTGTTTCTATGAAGTTCTGTTCTTATGTGTCTGTTCTTATGGTGTTATATTGATTGTTCTGTATTGCTGCTGTAACACAGAAATTTCCCCACTGTGGGATCAATAAAGTACCTACCTACCTATTCTGTAGAACTCTTGGAAGTCTGTGTATGCCTTAAGGTATGGCTAATGTGGCTTCAGCCAAGCAAAAATTAAACACCTGAAAAAGCCAGTAGCCATAAATTACTTTAAAACAAATTCCTCATAAAATTGGAATGCTACAAACATCCTCTGTAATGTGTCTCTTAGCACTCACGCACCGGTGACATCACTGGGAGCAATCAGGAGTTCAGTGTCTTGCTCAAGGACACTTCGACATGTTGACTGGACAAGCCGGGAATTGAACCGCTAATCCTCTGGCTAGGAAACGACCTGCTCTACCTCCTGAGCCACAGCCACCCCCATACTAGCAGTGCATCAAAGTAAATGATGTGTGGCATTGTGTATCATCTGTGGAATGGTAAACATCTATGAATATAGCAAGACAGAGAATTGCCTCAGAAATCCGAAGATGTTATGTATCTATTCTTTCTACAAAATTTCCTTAATGTGTTAAAATGTTGATAATATAATTGGTGTATGAATAAGAATTTATGTCACAGTCAGGTCTGGCTCACAGTTATGTGCAAGGCTAAACATTATTAAAACAAGTTCATGTCATAAAAGCTGTTTATTACATACAGTTTGGTGTGCATTGCTAGATGAGTGGACAAGTGTTGATGAGAAAGTATCTCAACATCAGTGGTCCTGTTCAAACTACATGAAACTGAAATATACACTGGAATTGTTTTTGTTTTGACAACTACAGTTTTGATGTCAAACTGGTTGCAAATTGTTTCAGCAGTTTAAAACATTTGAATATGTGTAAGTTTAAAGAAACATGACTATAGAAGAGACATTATCCTTTTGTCTTCCGTCTACTGTACTACATGTACATAAAGAAGGGAAGTGCCTCCACTGCACTGTGTTCATGAAAATTAGTACGAATAATCAAGAACTCAGATAAATGGTTTTTCTCTACTTAACAGGAAACACTTTCAGACTTAGCAGCATCATTAGACTGACCTCCTCTTGCCCTCTATTTACTGGAGGCTGAAGACATACCTGATTGGTAATCTTGATCTATTGTAATCTTGTCTTGCAGAGTATGGGCGTTTTGAGGCCAAAATCCATGACCTGCGAGAACAGATGATGAATCACAGTATGAGCACTGGGTCAGGATCCCTGCGAACCAATCAAAAGAGATCACTCTATGTGAGGTTGGTCTGTTTTGGAGTTTACTCGAATATTGGGCATTGAATTCATAGTGAATTCAGAAAGCAAACAATTTGCCCATTTTGTGTCCCAGATTTTTTTTATATGACATCTGCACTGATGTGTTCCAGGCACCATGGTAAAATAATATGAATGTCATCTTTTATTTGGTTTACTTTTCAAACACATAAGTGAAAAGAGTAATGTGTTCTTTACTATAACAGTCTGTTGGCTCACTGAAGGCACACATACATCTTAAAACCAGATTTATGATGTGTGTCTCAAACAGAACAACATTTGTTATTATAGCAACCCCAATAGAGCAGTGATCACTAACTGTTTCTTTCAGTTAAATTAGACAAGACCTCGTGCAGAGGAACAACAGAAATATTAGGAATTCAGTGAATTTGCAGTTCTAATCTTAATGTAAGGTAATCTAATCTAATCATGAGAATCCCTCCTCTGAATAGGGCATTGTTTGACTATGAGAAGTCAAAGGACAGCGGCCTCCCCAGCCAGGGGCTCAGCTTCAGGTATGGTGACATCCTGCATGTCATCAATGCCTCAGATGATGAGTGGTGGCAAGCCCGTCGTGTCAGGCCACATGGGGACAGTGAGGAAATGGGTGTCATCCCCAGCAAGAGACGGTGAGGAGTGGATAGAAATGTGTTTCAGGTTGAGGATAGTCTAGAACCCTGCCAATGACTTGTGAGAATGAACCTGGTTATTTATTACTAAAGGAGGATAGAACAATCTTAAACTGGATTCTAAAACAAATGGGTAATCAGTGGAGAGAGGCCAAGGCAGGAGAGATTTGCTCTCTTTTACAGATTGGATATAGTTTAGAGATAGGTCTGAAATTAGAAAGGATGGAGGCATCCAAATTAGGTTTCTTAATTTGTGGCTGCAATAAGGCATACTTAAACACTAGGAGAACACCCCACGGTCCACTTCAAAGCATTTATTACCATATGTGCAATAAAGAAACAAGTTGTACAATGAAATTTTTCCTTTGCCTGAATGCCATTAAAAGTTAGGAAAATATTTTTAAAAATGAAAAACAATAATAATAAATGATATTCAGTATGCAAAGAAAACAGTGTAATGAATAATGTGCAATTATCAGTTCCAGTGATAAGTACAGTATATACTATGTACAGTAATTACATAATAGTGCAATTTTATTAGTATAAATTTGCAGCCTTATTAAGAGTCATGCAGAGTCAAGACATTAGTCTGCTATTTAAAATTGTCATAATAGAAGATCTGATGGGATCAAAGATCTCTTTTAGGAGGGACAATGTCAGCAGAGCAGTTTGAGGGTTTGAGTGGTCTCTCTTACAAAGGAAAGAGACACTGGCTTGAACTGCATGAACATGGCAGGGTAGGCAACAGTGGAGAGTGATGTCATTAAACCTTGGTTTTGCTTTTGTTTTGTGATAAAACGTTTAAGAAGGGGTAATCAAATCTAAAATATTATGACAAACAGAATAAAATAAATAGGTTATATCCTCTCTATTTGAGCAGAGAGATAACTCTGGAGATAAACATAAGAATCAACAATTACATAATGTAATTTAAAACACCTGTCGTAAGGTTATTCCATTTCAAAATTGTCAAAACCTGGGTTTAGCATTGAGTCAGTGTGAGTGATTTCATGTCCTCTCTGTGGTTGATGGCTGGCATGGCTCTGTGCTTGACAAGGTGGAAAGGAAAGAGGGGGCGCGTCGTCTAAAGACTGTGAAATTCAATGCCATATGCTAGACAACTTAATGAAAACATAAATCTCTACATATGCTCAATGATAACTGAGGAGAGGAGAAACTTGGAGTGCAAGTGTTTGAGGCTCATTCTCACTCCTAAATTGTCAAAACTTGTAGTTTAGCATAGAGTCAATGTGAGTGATTTCATGTCCTCTCTGTGGTTGATGGCTGGCATGGCTCTGTGCTTGACAGGGTGGAAAGGAAAGAGCGGGCGCGTCTAAAGACTGTGAAATTCAATGCCAGGCCAGGGTCCTTTGATTCAAAAGGGGTAAGTGTCTTTATGAGACCTGAAAGTGACAATAATTTGTATTAGTACATTCATTTGATGATTCATAATGTAGCTCAAAGTGTGTGTTTTTACATTGACACTTGCAACAAAGACATAACCATGGGCCATAGCCTCACATTTCTAAAAGCCACATAATTACAACAAATAGCTAATTTCCTCTTTCTAGTGTTAATTTATGACAATTATATGTGTCATTGCTTTGTTAATACAAAGCACTGCACTTTCTGCACATTATGAGAACATTTCTAACCACACATTTCACTCTGCACACAGATGTTTCAAAAATACATCTGTGGTAAAAGTGCAAGCCCCTCCTACAAACCTTCCAGCTAAAGCTGCAATAGAAAGCAAGTGTAAAAATGTACCGCTTCCTGCTGTATAAACCAAAATTTTAATTGGCTAAAGGAGGAAATGGTGTTTGGAATTGGGATTGGTCTTCAAGCATGACTCTCCACATGAAACCCTGTAGCTGTAGAAATATTATACAGCAGCAGCTTAATTTGGTCTTCAAATGATGACAGTGACAACATATTCATTATTTAAAGTCTCTTTCTCTGGAGTTCAGTCTTTGTGTTTCATGTTCTTATGAAAGCCTGTTATGCTTTATCCTCAGTTATGTCTCTCAAGGCCTGATCTCGATAACTCTTCTCTCACTTCGCTCTTACTTGAAATGCTTCTCATGCCCTACTGGGTCCTGCAGTACTCCCACAGATGGACAAAATTAACATCTTTATTTAACTCCGAGCACTCTGTTTTCATGAACAGGGCAGCATGGCACAGACCACAATGAAATGCCAGTCGCGTTATGGGCAGAGGGACCTGAGGTGGAAATGGGCTGGGGTTAGAAATACACCATACAACGAGCCCGTTAGAGGTCAAGCAGCAAGGGGCAAATTTATCTTTATCTGACACAGTCAGCTTGTTGGATTGACAACCTAAAATTGATTAAAATAATCAAATGATTTCTTTTCTCAGCAGTATCAACACACAAATAACATGTAAATTGTACATGCGACAACACAAGATTTGACAAAATTTTTTTGCCGAGCCTATTTAATTAATATTTGCTACAGCAGAAGCAGAATTATTGTTCAATCAAATCCTTTATAACCAACATACAGTAGTCCTACTGTCTAGTGTCTATTCAGATACTTTACATCACATTACTTAGGAATACAATAAATCAAAAATGAAAATTACTATTAACCCTTGCACGTTGCTTATATATCATTGTCTCCTTTTGTCAGATCAACAGTGCAAAAAAAAAAAACAGGCAGCAAATACTCACATTCTAGTAGCGTGAACTAGCATGTTCAGAATTTTTGCTTAATAAACAATTTTTTTTGCTATAAAATTTTTGTCTAACTTACAATAGAACAACATCGTTTTAGTAAGGATCTTGTATACAGTAACTGACCTGCTTTGGAGGTTTTATTAACTATTATACTGTAAATCAGTAAAATCGTATTGAAACTAGCTGTGATTCTGGGAGGAAGAGATGTTCAAATATTACTGTAAGAACTTCTTGACGCCCCACTTTCTCAAAGCAGTTGTGCCTGCATGAACATAACAGATACAGTATATCTGCCCCATGCTTTCTCTCCCTTCACAGTCATTCACTGACAAACGTAAAAAGAATTTCTTCTTTACACGAAAGTTCCCATTCTACAAGAACAAAGAGGGTGAGCAGGATGGCAGTGATTCAGACCGTAAGTATGCTCACAGACACACGTATATATACTGAGCATGCAGAAGCCAGAGTAGGTCGTATGTATGGCTGCATGGAGATTCACAGGTGTATTTCAAGGGTAGAGGCGATGTGGAGGCCTTACCTGCTTCCTCTCATGATCGCCTCCTGTTGTCTTTGTTTTCTTTCTCACTCAGCTGGATCACAGTCAGAGATGCTGTGGTACAGACACTGATCAGTTAGCAGGAGAGAAACCAAGACACTGCTGTTCATTTTGATTTCAAATGTGATGTTGTAACAACCCAGTTTTCCCTCAGAGATCATTTTGGTTAACTCTGAACCAGCCTTAACATTATCATGATGTATGTGGGCCCCCCTGCTGGCTGCTCAATGTCTGTACAGAAACAGAGCTGTGGGTCCACAGCTTCTCCTTCCAATGCCTCCAATCTTTTGCTTATGTTGCGGCTGTCATCCTTCCTGTCTTTCTTCTGTTCTGGCTCTCTTTGGACTGCCAATAGGACATCCTGGGAATAAGTGATGATGGATATGGGACAAAGACATCCAGTAAGTTGGTTCAGGAATGATTTCTCATCTATGTTTAAACCCCCACCCCCGAACACACTCACATCAACAACAACAACTTCCATGTCACATTTCCTGTTGAAACATGTTTCTCATGCCTGTATCCTTGCATGCTAGATTAGCTGGATTTTCAGTTTACAGTCTTAACCTCTGTCTCAAGCAGGTCACTAAACTCACAATGGGTGACTTTTGTTTGTTTACTTGTTTATTTATATAGTCACAAGAAATTAACGTTATGTAAGGATTTCTCATGGAGTTACCTTGTTTTGAACCTGGATTAACCTTTAAACGTGGCAGTGTCTGACAGTTCCAATTTATATAGTCTGAGTGAAGCAGCACAGCCACTACAAGCCACCCAAGGTTTTTGCATTCTGTTTAGTGAGCCAAGCTTTACTGCCAATAAATTTAGTTTTATCCAAATTCAGAGATACTATATTACTGTCACACCATTTCTTTATCTTCTCAAGTTCCTGTGTAACCCATCCAGATAGTTGCTATAGGTTTTCACCCGATGCCCATATGGTAGTGTCATCAGCAAACAAAACCACTTTCATTAAATCAGAAACCTTGCATATATCATTAATATATAGTATAAATAATTAGGTCCCAAAACAGAACCCTGAGGCACTCCACATACAATGTCCAGCTCACTCGATTGGTATTCACCCAACTTCACAAATTGACACCTCTGTGTCAAGTAACTTCTAATCCAATTCAAAACCAATCCCCTGATCCCATAGTTTTTTAACTTATCCATTAATAATGCATGATTGATTGTGTCAAATGCTTTTTTTTTAGGTCAATAAGTATTCCCAACGTGTATTTCCTCTCATCCATAGCACTTGTTATGTCCTCCATTAGCTCAGTAATGGCCAGA